TAAGTATGCTAACATGACAAAAATCAAACACAACTGACTGACAGCATTATTTGTTGATTGTTAAGTTAGTAGTCGATAGTTCACTTGAAAGACGCTTTTTTGCTGTGATTTTCTTCTCAGTAACCGAGGGGGTCAGGAACCTCCCTAAATCCGCGAAACAGGTCCCAGCTGGTTTTGTTCTTCAATCGCCTTCAGATACACACAATGTGTACGGTCGCAGGTGATGTTTTTTCTGCATCTTAAAAGCATTGATGATTAATGTATGACGGATATACTTCCCTTTCTCTTAATACGAAAATAAGATTTCAGTACTCACTTTTTCTAAATACAGATTGAAACATTTCAATCACTTAGGTGAATAATAGACAGTGAATAATAACGACAAAAACGGTTGGGTCATAAACATAAGGCCATTTCAAAAGCACAGATAAAGATTATTTCAACTGACTCACGGTGATAAACATGAGTCGTCGAACGCAGTAACCATGAATTTCGTGCAAAAAACAACAAGTGCTGCACGAATGTATAACATCACGACAAGGTTCCATCAACATATGAATCGAATTTCAAATGTCATAAACCTCAAGGAATTCAAAATTTTACTTAAGTGTCCGCAAAGGGAAGGTCAAATTCGCAAAGCTCAAAGAAAATTCTCGACTTTGTTTACTCATAGTTTCATCTTTACACGGCTTGTTTTCTCTTCCTACGTGTTAGAAAAACTATAATTGCGATCGTTTGGCAAATAAAAATTGCGGTCTGTTACGCTTTATAAGCAACACGCACGTTGCTGGAACAATAGTAATTCCAACATTTATCTGAAGGACACCTGTGCTTCTTCATCTGTATAGTTGTTTTTATTTTTCCAAAAGGGGAACCACGCAACATGCTGTGTCGGTTCTTGTGTCCCATGTTTGAATGTGGGAGTATGTTTATTTAATACGAAAGTTGATATCGTCCTGTAGTTGCTGTCTTCCTACCCGAAATAACGTTCAAAAGAACCATTGCAGAATTTATGAAAAAAAGAAAATGAAAGTACCGCATCTCCATATAAATTAAACCTTTAATAAACAGCACGCAGAGTCAATTGACTTAGCTTATGTGGAATTTTTAGATGTTTAGGAAGAGCGAGGTGGTGTTGATGCAAGTGATAATTAGTTTCGGAAATGACTCGATAACTACATCAAAATAGAAATTTCTGATAAAAGCCGTTCGATTCTGTGAAGATCAAGCCATAAATAAACAAATCCGAGCAATTATCTATTGTTCCAAAAGCAATATAATGTCGGTGGAATAAGCAAGCCGTGCGATATCCTGACCTGAGTGCCGTGTGATTTAGAGTCGGAAGCGAAAGAATAGCGTCCAAGAAAAGGTTATAAGTGCTCGTTTATCACATAGCTACATCTACGTATTTTTGCCCTGGTTTGATGCTGTTTGTTTTGCGATTTTGCCACTGGCTGGTCAAATCAAGGTTATACTCATGACAATCTGTACCGATTATGTTTGTACCTCTTTCAAACAAATTGGAAAAAATCCTGTGCAAAATTTAGAAATCATAACAATCCTCGCCTTATGTTGAAAGGGAATATTGTTGAAACGACATGAACTGTTGCGTGTACATTCCATGGTATTCCATTATCAGTTTTGAACTCATCAATTTTACTTTTAAGATTAAATAAGATTCATAAAGATTTGGCACCAATATGGCTCGCTCCAAAAGATGCATTATTCTTAACTCCAAACTTCAAAAAATAAAAGGGTACTCAGGCAGATTTAAAATAGTAATAAGTTCATATTATAGATAGTTATTGCACGGTACAGAACTTATGTCTTTCTCCTCCTTATCCCCCTCTCCATTCACTAAATCAAAATATTTTTGATCATGATAATAACATTTTTTTCATGGAAAAATGGGCTTTCGTGTAGTGATTAGACATATAATGGAAATTGTTTCTAGACAGATTAAACTGTTTACGAAAACATTATTGTAATGTGCATTGCCTTACATTGTACGAAGAATTTTTTTTTTTAGGTACACTGACACTTAAAAACACAACAGCACGACTAAACTTTAACTATAACAGCGTTATCCATTACGAGGCTTTACCCTAAAAGTAACAAGAAAGGCACCCAGAGAGCACAGACTTCTGCCAAGAGAGATCATTTCTCATTATCAATGAATGAATGGATCACCGCAGAAATCGAATCGATTCTACCTACATTGAAGTTAGCCCATCTCTAACCTATTCTTGACATGTATCAAAATCCGTCCATAAGTTTTTTGAGTTCGGCTGTTAACTGCAATATACATGTAACAAACCAGCAAAGGCAAATGGGCAACCTTCTTGGCGTAGGTAATAAAAATACAATGATAGTAATAAACAATACGTGCACATGGGGATGGTATATACGTTTGCATGTCCACTTCAGTTGCCTCACGTATCCACAATGACGCAGAAAAAGTATATTGAAATAGCTTTGCTGAATACGAAATAATGACAAACGTATAAACATCCTAATGAACACCTGCTAGCCGAGCAAGGGATACGAGAAAAACAATAATAGAAATGACAATAGTGATCGTGCCACGGAATTGAAATCGATGGCGACATGTATATCAAAGCCAGCCCTATTACTTTTGACCCACTGAGAAAGATAGCCACGAAATTAGACGATATATGCCTTATTGACCTTCGGTCTCATTAATTTGCTCTTGATTGACCTTTGTTGCGCCCACACGTGTTGTTAAGAACGGTTCAAGCGCGGTTCTAGAGCGTTCCAGAACCGCCAGCTACAGTTATTACACGTCACAGTTGGTTGTGATACGAAGAACTTTCGACTGAATACGCAAATAAAAGCTTTTAAATGTTATTCATATATTTATTCATACAACAGCTGCATGCTGAGGTAGATTGATTGCAATTAATTAAGAATCATGGGGTATGATATTGTACGGTTCACAACCGTGCTGTAATAGACGTCTTAACACATACCACAGAGATTAACATCGAATGTATTCTCAATATCAATGGGCAATAATTGCGAATCTCATATGGTGTTTATGGAAATGTGTAAAGAGATACTTGCAGATGCCATCTACACATTATTTACGGTATTGAATAAAGCAGCGGGTGCGGTGAAGGTAAAGATAATATCCGGCGGAATATAATTCCCATTGTTTCAGAGAGGCAGAGAGCGGCCATCTCACCTCCAGGGTCTATAAGATAACGCTGCTTGTGTCTGGATACAGTGCACGTAAGGTCGACTTTGCAGACTTTTCTGTATTGGCCTGAAAGTGTTTCTTTAACGATTGGTTCATAACAAGTGTGGTTGCCACTGTTGTCCCATGTATAGGCCTATTGTGTATATTATTGCTAGAAAAGTAAGAAAATTAGTGCTTATTTTTTTCCAGTGCATGCACGTACGATGTCGAGTTTGCTATTTATTTTGATCTGAGAGTGTTTCAGAGAGTGAACGCTTGAGACCCACAAAGAAAGTAGTTGGAATATGGGCATCGAGTTCTCATGAATGCATCTGTGACTACTACATGTACATGTGTAGTAGTCTGACTTGTGAATAGGTTTTATAACCATGTCTGTTCTTGCTAATAAACTATGTTAAAAAGGGGGGTGATTTTCGAATTTAGCTCTTCGATTAGAGCCTAACGAAATGTAACAGGCATCGAAATGTAGGACGTAGGCCTACCAGTTTGCATAGACGTAGGGCTAACTGTACTGTATCTCTTTATTTTGAATTTGTAACACAATTCTTTGAAGCTATAGCTACTACAGTAATGTCCTGTATCTATAATCAGATATGGATTAAACATGCAGTCTACATCTGTGTCTTATTTATTGTTCTCGGAAAATGAGTAGGCCCCTATGTTAACATATACATGTATAAACTAGCCTGTTCTAAAAATTAAGGATACGAAGGAGGGGGGAAATTCACTTTCCATTATCATTTCTATAACTACATGTAGGTACCCTTTTAGACCGAAAGTGTTTTTGCCTAGCACAATAAAGCCTAGTATATAATTTTAGTGCTCCGTTTTACCACGACAGATTACAACCACGCAGGTCTAGCAATTCTCCTGCTTGCGCGTCACAGTGCTGTGCCAACCCATGCAGATGACATCAACAGAGATAGGCCTACTGCAAGATCCCACAAAAATACACTACTGGAATAATTATGAGCTCCGCGATTCGTGCACTCAAATTTGCATCATCCCGGAAAATCACGAATCACCGGGTACATGTATATAATGACTTTGTTTCACGAAAGAAAAAAAAATAATAAAAAGCCACATTCAGTCCCGGTAATGGGTTCTTCACGGACCACTCTAAACACTATAATTATGAACGTTTTACGCATCTCGGAAAATAAAAATTAGCTTTCAAGTGTAACGAAAATGCCCAAGTTTGACCCTTTTAGAAACCAACAGGTTTGAAAATGTCATCACAAAATTACCAGAAAATTGCAAATATTAAATCCTAACAAATTTCACGTCAAAACAAAATTGTCTCGATCATGATTAAATAAGATTACCATTAGTGAGTCTAATCTTAATGGCATGATAAACTAATGAAGTCTTTATGAGGTAATATCAAGTGTACCAAATAAAAAATAAATCAAGTTTTACTGTATATTTGCAGCCTTATCATTCTTTTCATAGCCCTGTCCACATAATAATTGGGAAATAAATGGCAGCTAGCCTACAAAAACATAAACAGTGATGTATGACAAAATATATAAGCATACAAACAAAGAAAGAAAAAATGAATGGCTTTAAAAAGTGTAAATAAATAAATAAATAAATAAATAAATAAATAAATAAAATAAATAAATAATGTGCAATAATACTACAGATATTAAATTGTGAATTCAATCTCTTGGTCGCCTGATTACGGAAAGCCACGATCTTTGTTTTTATCTACTACCTGTCACGTGATCAAAACACGCACATGACCCAGTTACATGACCCACTTTCCAACGTTCCGCAAAACTAATGTAGCTTAAAATCTATGTCACAAGTACAGAGGAGTCATTCTTTGCACTCCACTTCATTTTCTTTGTTCTATTCCTCAAATTACAACATCGAAAAAGATGTCTCTTCTTGAACAATTGAAGAATGTGAAGTTAAAATCCTCGGGCGTCGAGAGGGATTTTTCTGGTCCAAAAACGACAGGATTTTTGTCACAAGGGGAAATTGACAAATATCAGAACTCCGTGTTGGATGTCAACACAGAGCAGTGGTATGCTATCCTCAGGGATGTCACATTTGAGACAATTTATTGTCCGATATATTACGATGAAGCTCAGTTGTTCGTGAAAGTTTATGAAAAAGTTTACAAGGATGTTGACTCGTCGGAAATTGCAAGTCGGAATTGGAGAGATGCTTTGGGCGCAGAGGATTTGAAGCTAGTGCAAGATATGTCAGACAGACTACAGGAGCAAATGTTAACTTATACCCAAGACGGTGGTTCAGCTTTTGTTAAAACCTCCAGTCGGAGTGCGAAGGATGCTCCTTTGTACCAAGAAAAAATCAAGCAACTTTATTTGGAGAAACTACATTCACACCCCAAAGAACTCCACTGTGATGAAAACTTGCAAATAACATGCTTGCTTGAAGCAGCTTTTGAGGCAATGAAAGTGACAGATGCTGGCACTGTTTTGGATATGTTTATGAGAAGTGAAAGAATCTTTCAGGATATGCTACTCGCCACAGAAAAGAAAGACCGTTTTCACGAGAACTTCGTCATTCGCCAGTACCATCACATTGATGTTGACATGGAGTTCCGAGGCTTTGTCTTCAACAACAGGCTGACTGCCTTATCTCAGTATAATTACCTCATCTATTCTAAGAGACTGGTAAAACAGAAAGAACATGTACTGAACCTCATTACCGAGTTCTACAACCAAGAAGTTTTACCCAGGCTGAAGACAGCAAAGTTTGAGAAAGATTTTATTATTGATTTTGCACTCACCGATGAAGGTTAGATCCAAAGCAAATGTTTAGATAATAAACTGTATGCCTTATAATTATCATGTACATACAGTACATTATGTTTAATTCCTTCTACTCATACATAAATTATATTATAGCTATATTATAGCTGTACAGTATTGCACAATATTTGATTATATAGATATACAGTATATAGTTGCTTCTTCAAACTTTATGTCATTGTGTTCAATTATTGGTAAATTATACTATTTATTCTATTCATTAATTTAGCACATTATTGCTGAACATTTTTAATATTCGCTTTTGCTATGCATTTTTCTTCATCCGCAATATACAAATTTATGTTTAAATATAATGTATTTTGTAGGAAAAAGAATCTGGGTAATAGAGATCAACCCATTCATGGAAACAACAGATGGCGCACTGTTCGACTGGAACAAGGAACGTAGCATACTGGAAGGAGGAGAGGCAGAAGATATGACATTCCGTTTAACAACGAGACCAAAGCCAGGGGCCAAGGTTATGCTACCTGTGGGTGCGAGACAGCTTTTACAGGAAACCTCATCTACCTCCAGTGTGTGACACAAATTCAAATGTGATGTTATTTTAAAACTAACTAAAAATACAGTTGTTGGTCTAGTTGAGGGCACTCGCAGTGAGTCCATGCCCCTTCCTTAAAGGGATAATAACTGTTCGTTTGAGGCAAAAAAAGAATTTTCCTGTAATTTTCTCATACTTACAATGGTGAATGAATCTATTTCTACATTCATAGTTAGTCCCTGTTTTTTTTTTTTTTTTTTCTAAAAAGTTTTTTTTTGTAATGATCTCTTAAGAGATCAATACTGAGTATAGCCATCTTTGGAGGTCATGTGGCCGATGACAAGCTCAGATATCAGAATAATAGCTGTAACTCCTGTTTGTGTGGTAAAACTGAATATACGTATTACATTTTATTGAGTAGTTTACAATGTTTTTATTGTGAAATATAGATTTCATACGAAGAGTTATTATCCATTTAACTTCTGAGGTTCTCCCTCTACTCCTCTCCCTTTAGCCTCCCTTCCCCTCCCCCCTCAAGAAAAAATAATGAGAGAAAGAAGACAAAACCAAGCCATTCTTCCATCCCTATGACCTACATGTACATATGACAATAAAGTTGTGATTATGGCCCATTTTACCTATCATATCTCTGATAAGTTTGTTGATAGTTGTGATAATTGGCAGGGAGGTTTATCTATAACAATGTACCAGTATAAACTAGTACAGGCAGCTACACCAGTAGTGCAAAAGAGACATACTATGTATATTGTAAACTGACAGTTATTTATGCATGTAGTTCTTGGTCTATTTTTTTTTTCAAGTTAAAAGTGGTATTGTACTTTATAGGCATGTAGGCCTAATAAAAAGCACAATGGCAATGCGCAGTCAGTACAGTCAACAACATAGGTGCAATGTTTACTTTAATGTGCAGTTTTTAAGAACATTATTTAAATTTAATATGTATAGAATAAAATATACATACCCCATACTGGTATATTACAGCTACACTAACTTCCTGTTGAGATATCTCTTTCTATACAATTGTATTTTTATTGAATTATATGTATCTATCAATTATTTTATGTATGCATTCATTTTCGCCTAATTTTGAATAAATATAAGTATTAAAGCTAAGTGATAATAAACATTACAAGTTTGGTTTTGATTGCTACAGATGAGATTGTGAGTTGGTTGTGCAATCTGTAGTACCAACATCCGCTTGGATGAAAGGAAATAGAAACAGAAATTTTAACAGAAATAGTTTATTCTCATTTGCTGTACATTTACAGTTTAGAGAGCATATATATATATATATATATATACATCAACCTGAAGGCTTGACCCCCTTATTCACAATACTAATGAATTTGTACAAATTATTCAGTTTTTTCTTATTTTTCGTTGAAAATATTTCATACATTTTAATTACATTCGGTCTAATACATGCTTTTTTTGGAATATATAAGTTTTGACTTTCTGCAAAAAAGGTAAAGGTACATCTAAAGACATAATGAAATTCATCCCCTATTTCATTTTTACACAAGTTGCATAATCTCAAATTTCTAGGTATTTTTTTCCATCTGCCCGTTTCAATTGGTAATCTATGATTTGTTGTTCTGAATCTAGCTATTGTAATTATTTTGTGTGTACATAAAGTAGAAAGTATATAATTCCTGCATTTAAACTCTGAGTTTGTGAAAATACTATAGCTTAACCCTTTACTAGAGTTGTTACAATCTGAATTCCATTCTTGTATATACTGATCCTGCAATTTCTGTTTAACACAATTTATAAGCCATTCCTTATTACAGACATCCTGTGTGCTAAATATATTACTTAAACCACAGTTATCCAGAATGGATTTCAGATTTCCCATCCACTTACATTCACATCCCTGCATAAATTTGTTATAAACAAGTTTATACAATATATTTGAAAATTTACTTTGTTTACCTGTGAGCAAATTTGTCCAGAATGATACAGTTCTTCCTTTTATAATAATACTTAATGGCATTCTACCTAATTCCCCATATATCATTATCTTGGGAGTGCTGGTTTTTAGATTTAATAGATATCTACAAAATTTCAAGTGCACCTGTTCTATGATTTCTAAATTACCAAATCCCCATACTTCACATCCATATAATAAAATCGGAACAATAATCTTATCAAAGAGATGTAGCTGATCAACAATGCTTAGATTTAGATGCCTTGCTTTCTTAAATATCCCATACATAGCTTTAGTTGCTTTCTTTGCTGAATACCTTTTTGTTTCTGAAAATGATCCCGTTTTAGAGAAATAAACTCCTAAGTACTTGAAACAATTAACTATTTCTACATTTTGGTTATTAAAAGTAAATTTTATATTCTTTTGGGTACGGCCCTTAGAAACTATCATGATTTTTGTCTTTTCTACATTTA